TTGCTCGTGTTGCGTGACGAAATATGTACGTGTATGGAGACCTCATTATAGTTTTTCAGATAATTCAGTTTTATTCGGTCGTGGCTGTCAGTTAAATTTCCTGCCCAAAATTTGTTGACGCCAAGCTTCCCCTGAATGAATACATTTTTTCGCCGGTCTTATCCACCAAGTTGGAAGATTTTACCACCTCTACTCGTATTCTTTCTGTCTGTGCTGGCGGTTTCTGTGTTCTGTACATTTAGCGAAAAGCGGGTACGCCAGCCGGTCGCCAGGCGCAGGCGGAGCAGCCAACGGAGCACGACCTGTCGCCGATCCGGCTCGGTGTCCAGCCGGTCCAGGCGCGCCATCACTAGGTCACACAAAGCAACAACGCAGTCTGGCCGGCGCAGCACGGCGTGCTGAACCGCTGTGTCCTCGTCGGTGAGCAACTGGCTGTGAAGCATCCGGTCCACCTGCAGACATGTCAGATTGAGACCCAGCCATCAGCGCACGCGCTTAGATGGCACCAGCGGCCCAGACAGCAGACGGGTAGGTGCTGTCACTGGCAGGCTGCTGGGTCTGACAGAGTACGCCCACCGACTATGGAGCAGCCAGGCGAAAGCTCTGTCTTCGGCCGCGTTCCGGATGACCAGGCCAACGGCGCGTGGGGACTAGCCAAAGGCACAGTTTTAATCGCGGCCCTCCAAACGCCTGTACACGCTTAAGCGCCTGACCGGACGTCCTTTAACAGCCCGTGGCCAGGCAATCTAGGTACTGCGAGTAAAATAATCTGTAGTTATGTATGGCTCCAACGCTTCGGTTTTGCTGTCATTCCCGGTCCTCTGCACCGCAGCGTCGGCGACGGGCGCAGGACACACGCGGTGGGCACCGGACTCACGACCGGCGACAAAATTGCCGCGCTAAGACGGGACATGATCCAAAACCTATCCACGCAAGGCGTGGTTCACCTTCATCTGTGTCGGGCAAGGAGGGGAGGAGGCTGATCTCCAGCAGCCCCAGGCCTCCCGACTGGGCAGACCGGACGTGACGGGCCGACGCTCTCCTCGTTGGCCGCCGTTTCCAGGTGCTGGGCGGCGTCGTTGGCGGTGATGTCGGCGGCTTCTGATAGCTCAGGTCGTAGCTGCGGCAGTGCGGCTCTCAGCAGTGCCCAGAGCCACACCTGTTGCGGGTGAGGGTGAGTGTGCGGGTACAGACGCACGGCCACCCTCAGCGCGAGCATTGCGCCGGGACCGTCGCCTCACGCCGACGGCAGGCACGTCTCCAGCAGAATCCGGTCGGCGGCCGACGCTGGGCGTCAGATCGCCCCGCAGGCCATAACCGCGTCGTCGCAGCACAGTCTCAGCAGGTCGCGTTTCTAAGGCTGACTTCAGATGAAAGCTCTTAAGCAGCTGTGTGAGTGCATTCTAGATGTCGTCGAAATGACGCAGAAGGCGGCAGGCGCGAGTGTGCGTGACCGGTTTGAGTCGGCGTTTAGAGCCAGTTCAGTACTGCCATGTACAGCCAGCACCAGGACGTAATGTGAGCGGAAACTGGCCTCCGACAGCCGGCCGCAGCCGGCGACCGCCTCCGGACAGCAGTCTGCCGCACTCGGCGCAGGCAGGCGTCGGGCATGGCGCGCCGATGGCCCTGTCGCTCGACCAGCGGGCTAGTGTTGTTCCAGGCGGCCGTATCGGCGGCGCAGCGGCCGCGTGTTATGACCAGCGCGTCGCTTCCCATCGCCAAAGCCTGCATGCACCCGATGTCGATGTGCTGCGTGTGGTGCAGCTCAGGCTGGGACCCGGCCCAGCGGGTCTTCACGTCCGGCCTGTTCTCTATCGGGGCCATCAGCAAGCAGCGTCACGTTTAGCGAGTGCTCACCGCGCCGCCGGCAGAGGCCGCTGACCACGAGTTGGCGCGGTTCCGCGGCCGCTCGCCGCGGTCACCATCACACACGCACACACGTACACGCACACACGCACGCGCACACACACACACACACACACACACGCACACGCACACACGCACGCGCACGCACACGCACACACACACACGCACACACACACACACACGCACACACACACACACACACACACACACACACACACACACACACACACACACACACACACACACACACACACACACACACACACACACACACACACACAGCGCAAGTCCATCCCTCTAGCTCGGTGCCAACACCGGGTGGCGTCCGGTTACGACCGATTCAGAGAAATTCTATGGTGAACGGGAGTGCGGGAGCCGCCACCGACCGCGAGGTACTCGGGCTCCGTCAGGATGACTTTGACTGATGCGGGGCTCCGTGGCGCACGCATTCTTCAGGTATTCGCGAATGGCCACAGTGCAAGTGTCACCCTCGGTCGATCGGCACCATGCCGCCCGCCGCTGGCCTTTCGTTTGTGACCGGTACTCCCCTCCCCGCTGTTTCGGAGCACGAGTACGGAGCACGGCCACTGCGAATGCGGTCGCAGGACGCAGCAGTGGCGGTGCTCTCACCGCTTCAGAACGCGGCGCCGGCGGGACTTTAGCCGCCCAGTCAAGTGCTCAGCGATCACTCTGACCGCTCCGCAGCGGCTGTTGAAGAGCGCCCTCGGATTGTTTTCCTGCTGGCCCGTTTACGCCTTGATGCACCAGATCTGCAGGAGATAAACGCGTCCGCCGCCGCCGACTGACTTCCACAGTGCTCTGGGGAGATCAGGACGTTTGTAATTAATTCGCAGCAGCGCCCTCCCATTGTGGTTCCCTGTAGTGCATCTGCTGAACCCTGCAAGACGCAGAGTCGTTTGGTACGTTTTAGTTTCTACACAGTACGTTTTATTTTCGAAGGAAAATTATGGTTTAATTGCAATAGCAGGCATGTCTCATCTGACGCAAGCATGGAAATGATGATGACCACCCGGTGTGACAATTGTTGGTTAATAAATGATATAACTACTGCACAATCCAACATATTATATAGTGCTGTGCTCAGTTATACAGATTGAGCACAGCACTATGATTGCTGCTGTGCTATAATTGGGGAGGCACCACAAAATCGCCAACCTTACCTGAAAATGGCTCTAGCATTGGGCAGGAAGTCCTCGTTCTTCTTGGATGGTGTGCACAAGCTAAAGGCGTTGCCAGTTCTCGTACAACTTTTCTGCTTCTCATCATGTTCCTGACTCTACCTTGATATAAGTTCACATTTGTCATCTCATAACAAAATTGCCAAAAAAAGGACCGCCCTTGTATTCATGTGTCTGTAAGTTACCCATCCCTTTGGAGCAGAATCAGCCATTTCATCTTGATTCCTGGTTTTGGGGAACAATTTTGTTGTGTCCTGTAGTAAAAAATTAAAGTAGGCACAGCATGGCAGTGTCAATTTTGAACATACTGTTCCACTTTTGTTGGCCCTCCAAATGAGAGCATTGTAAAAACTTAAAATTTTCCCCACAATTTATAGCACTCAAAGACCCCGACAAAAATAATGCAACACAATATCCGCGATATTCTAGCTCCATACAAGGTTTCAATAGCAAATCATAAAAAACTGCGAGTCTTCTGGTGAGCTGAGACTTCGGAAATGTCTTCCTAACTTTAAGAGAGACTTCTCCTTCGAACACCAACCAACTCCCATTTGAGCACCAAGGGATGCCATTACTACATAAATTGCCAGCCACCATCCTCTGTTTATGTGACCAAAAGTCTGACAGCAATATCAGCGCAGCGGACGATTAATTGAGGCAAGCAAGGTACCGATGAATTGAAAATTATCGCTGAATTGTGTACCACACGATCGCATGGAATCACGTCGCAAAGCAAATCATACCTTACAACACAATCAAACATCGATCCTCCTGTTTCATAACCAGCGCTCTCGCCAGCTTTCGTAACAAGATATCATAAGATACACGCAATGCTTTTTCCGCTTCATCCGCAGTGGATCGCATTCTTCGAGCTACCTTTTCATTTTCCTCAAAGATCGATTGAAAACGTGACCCACCTAGGCAGCTTACAATCTGGCCACTTTTGGGCTACGGTGGCCAGTGCAGACGCGCGGGGGCGGAAGAAGGCCCATGCTGGTTGTCAGAGTGGAAGTCAGGGTAGTTCGCGCAGCAAATTTTGCTGGACAAGTACTACGGAACAACACCTGAACATTTTAGTTGGGCAATGAAGAAAACATGCTATGAAACGAATTGTATCGCATTACTACACTTATCAGTAACACAAACCTGGGATCACCCATGAAAGTCACCTAGGTGGCTTATTCCGGTTGTGCGTTGTGAACAGGGTTTCGGACGCGTCATTGTCACACGCTCAGGTCGAGACAGTTCCGTTCCGCTGACTGGTGCAATAGTCTTCTTAAAGAGCTGCGTTCGCACTCGTTCAGCGCTTACAACCATCGATACCGTAGATGAGAAGAGTCATTTTATTAAATTATCGTTGTTCTAAGCCATAAATTAACTTTTCAATGCTACCAACAAATGAAGGCTGGTCGAAAAGCATGCAGGCGTTTTTTTGAAAACCAAAAAAGGGTCTGACGCCCTTTTAAAACAACCGAAGGTAATTCTATGATGAGAAGCCGCAGTTAGAGTAACCGAATGTAATTGCATAATTATAAACTAATATTAAGAGTGACATTAGGGCATATGCTACGTTGAACCACAACAATTTCGGTGTAAACAGTACACAGCACGTTGAGTGGGTTCCATCGCAAACTGTCGATGAAAAGCAACCATCACCACCTGTAATCTCCCTACAATGATGTTACGCAGCTCTCGAAGACAGACGACGATCGCGGCAATCTACCCGTCGTCCACAATGTGGTAAATGCATGTTGAAGTGTGACTGCCAAGCGCGCGCCTCACATCATCTCCTTGTGAGGGGTCACCACACCGCGTCACCGGTGGCGGCGGGCGGTGCGTGGTGGTGACGCCGGGCACCGCCTCTGTCTCGACTGCGCTACGTCCGTCACGGCCCGATGTTTGCCGGCGCTGCGGGTGTCGTTTGGCCCGGGATCGATGAACAGACGCGAGACGAATGCGACGTGGCTCTCGTGGGGCGGCAATGGCCGCGGCACAGGTGGACGCGCCGTGGTTTGCCGCCCCAGCGACCAGAGTCCGGCGCCAGAAGACTTGAATTCAAGTCACACTCGGCACCATGGCTCATTTAATGGCAACCGGCGTCATTCATTGCGTGGCAGTCGTCATCGGCTTTCAGCATACGTTATCCTATGTGGATCACCACATGCTCTCATCAGCAGCTGCGGCTCCTATCTATGGAGCGCCAGCGACTACGGCGGTGCATTAAACCTGCGGACGTAACATCCTCCGGGAATCAAACTCAGGATTCTCCCGCTAAAGTCCGCTGCGCTGCCAAACTGAGCAGATGTGATCACCCCTACCACTACCATATGCGTTTCGTCTCCTCTTCTCGTTAGGAATGACGGGCTCTCCATGTTGCAGGTGGGACTGAGGCCGGGCGACCTTCTCTTGGTATGGGCGGCCGCTATGACCGTGCCGCCGCCGCTGCTGCTGTTGCTGCCGTTGCGGCTGCTGCTGCTGACGCTGTTGCAGACCGCTGGGGGCGCCGCCGAGCTGGGCCGCCCACGACACCCGCTTTCCGTGCTCGGCCTGTTCGACCTGGACGCGCCGCGGTGCGCGACGGCTTGCGGTCGCGGCCCGCTGGAAGGGCGCGCCGATCTGGCGGCGGCGCGGCTGGCGCTGCAGCACGTCAACCGGCGCCGCCTGGTGCCCGGCTACCGGTTACGGCTGATCACCAACAACACCAAGGTAAGCAGCGCATCGAGGCACCGCCTAGTATCCGGCTACCGGCTACGGCTGATCACCAACAACACCAAGGTAAGCAGCGCATCGAGGCACCGCCTGGTACCCGGCTACCGGCTACGGCTGATCACCAACAACACCAAGGTAAGCAGCGCATCGAGGCACCGCCTGGTGCCCAGCTACCGGCTACGGCTGATCACCAATAACCCCAAGGTAAGCAGTTAAGCTCAGTTAAGCTAAGCTAGTGAGTGTTCCAGTCTTTCAGGCAAGAAGCCCTAGGTAGGGCATGCCAAGACCAAAAGATAAAGCAAAACTGCGTGGTCAAGGAGCTTCCTTTGCAAGAACATCAGAATACATCACAATTGAGAGAAATTTGTGTGGCAGCCACAATACTTGTTATGTATACCATACATTCCATGTCCATGCAAGTTGTATTCCAGACACTTTGAAAGTGAGACATGTGCAGCAGCATCGCCTGTAGTGCCTACCCTGGTTGGGGACATTATGTGCAATAAATGCTATCAAAATAGCACAGCATGACACAAGGATTATTCTCTAAAATTGAGTTCATTTGGATAACATAGCTGCACACATCTTGTGCATCGCTATGCCATACAGCAGCAGCTAGCCTGCATAAAATCATATCATAGAAACATACTCTCAATGATCAGCCATATAGAGAGCCTGTTCCCAATGACAAGTACAGCAGGCTGCTTATGATTGGATCCATGAATGGCCCTTTTTCAGTGTTCAATGATAGTTCGTGTTTACTTCACATGTTCCCTTAAGCTCTGAAGGCTAAGGTCTGACAGTCCCACCTTCAATGCCCAGGATATGCTTAATAAGCACAGGCATTATGTACTTACTATTCACATGATCTCGTCCACAATCGCTATGCAAAATAAAGCCTCCTTCAATGGAACATTTTAGGATGAACCTGAACAAGGAAGGAGCTGATGAATGGAAGAAAGCTTCCTTCACCGAATTTATCAATTATGGACAACATTGCCACCAAAACCAGCCCTACTTTCTGCCGTATCTCCACAAGCGCCACAAGCCCACACATATACACAAAACGTGTTTGCTCTGTTTATTACGTAGCCCGGAGACTTACAAACACAGCGCGGTCGATGGGCAAAAAAACGCGCAGCTGGTCGACACAACTAAATGGTGTTGCTGAAAAGTTGGTGCCGCACTACCATAGCCAGTCGACGAGAAATGGTCACACACAATCTTCTTGCGGACGGGGGAGCTGTCTCTCTCTCCTCTCCTCTCTCTCTCTCTCTCTTCTCTCCCTCTCTCTCTCTCTCTCTCTCTCTCTCTCTCTCTCTCTCTCTCTCTCTCTCTCTCTCTCTCTCTCTCTCTCTCTCTCTCTCTCTCTCTCTCTCTCTCCTCTCTCTCTCTCTCTCTCTCTCTTCTCTCTCTCTCTCTCTTCTCTCTCTCTCTCTCCTCTCTCTCTCTCTCTCTCTCTCTCTCTCTCTCTCTCTCTCTCTCTCTCTCTCTCTCTCTCTCTCTCTCTCTCTCTCTCTCTCTATCCTTGAGCACTGCCAAGCGTACTCTTCCTTTGTTCATGGTCGTCATTGGGGATTTAGAGCGCACTCAGCTGCCTCGGTTAGGTGGCGTCAACTGCCTCTCATCCTGGCGGAAACGCGGGCACCACGGGTGACCAAACCCCGCACCCAGACGCGTTAGCCACTGCACCGCCGGCACGTGTCCCTTTGCTTTCATATCCTGATAAGCGTTGCATTTCAACCAAAGCGTCATAATTGTAGCTGCAGATAATATCCCCCAAACAGTAAGCTTACGTGGCTGGTTTGATGTCGACCCAGGCAACTGAAAACTTATATATTATTTTGTCTTAATCGATGGCAGTTTGGGTGAAGGTTAACACATACTCAAAACATAAGACGTCTGTTTATGGCTGCTAGAATTATTTCAAGTTTGGTGGTCGTTGTCTTGGCAACGGGACGCACAAATCTACGCCACTGCCAAATGTACAAACTACGACAAAGGTCACGTGACGGCTTTGAGAAACTGGTTCAATGCGTAGTTTGTAAAATCGAAAGTACACATTAATACTTGGCGTAAGATTGTACTTCCGCTTTGAGAAACTGGCTATTGGCGGGGTTTATGTTCGTATGCGTTCTAATCAGGTCCGCGACGTGTTATATTTCATCAGTAACAGTCTACCTGTCCTATAAATTGTGAACAAAGTCTGCCCAAAACCTTCAAAACACAGACTTCTCGCAATTATATTCGTTTTAGACGGTTTAACGTTTCAAGCAGGCAAACAGCGCAATGCTTAATATGCTACAAAATGACCTATTTCGCGCGTCAAAATTTGTGTAGAGTATTCATTTCATTTCATGTGACATATACATATACATATATATATATATATATATATATATATATATATATATATATATATATCTCAATTAATGAGTCATCACCAGCGTAAGCTCCTCACTTGCGGTGGTGCCGATGTGCGCAAACAACATTCCTGATCAGCTGTCCCTGCGAGCTGACGAGGGATCCCTGATAACATCGGTGACGTATAGCCTATATCGTGTCCACCTTCGCTGACGCTGGGCCAAGTGTCTGGTAGCGTCTCCTTGATCTGGATGACCATGAAGCTACACGCCAATGTAGTTTCGACGACAATTCGTTCGGGTTAGGTAGTAAGTGACTGGGTGGCAGCTTACAAATTTTCTGCCGCTTATTTTGCTCGTTAGCTAAATTTTTCACAAGCACACATGTGCTACATTGGCTCAACCACGGAATACTGGGTTGTAGCTTATCAGAATATTTTCGCCCATATCCGACCTCTGTCTTTAATTGAGCCCAGAAAGGCCAATGCTTTGTTCAGTTGAGAGAATAAGCTAATGCTGCAGCTGAGTGAATATGTCGCCTAACCGTATGCGTGTGCATATGCGTGCCCTGCATAACCCTTTGTCTGTGTAAATGCCCATCGGGTACAAGCGTAGTTTCAACTACTGTGGTTTTTGCACTTGCAAGAACCATGGTAGTCTTCCGACCCCCAAATATATAACGGTTTTGTTCTCGGAGTATCGGTTTTGCTTTTTCAAAAACATTACCAAATACCAACCGCTCGATCCATCGGCCTTTTAACGCAGAGGACATTTGTAATGCATAAATTTGCAATAACAAGATTATGTCCCGCTTTCGTGTCACCATAGCTGGCGCTAGACTGCCAGCCCGTTTCATTGGAGGCGCTAGCAGCCGCAGCTCACCAACCGGTGCCGGAAGCAAGCGGCCGCCGGTCGGATGGCGGCTAATGGCCGGCGTTTCGTGACGCCGTGACTGTTGGCAGGCGGCGGGGTCCGGAGCTGTGTCGCACCTCATCCGTCAGGGCGGCCGCGCTGCGTGCCAACGAGCCGGGCGGGCTGCACCGGCGGACTGGGTTCTTCCCCCACCCCTGACCTATAACCACGGCCGGGTGGGGCGGGGGGGGGGGAGGGGGCGCCCCGGGACGTCGGCGGCGTGCCGGCCCACCCCGGCCTGCACCGAGCCGACGGCCCGGTGCCGAGTCACGCTGGTGGTGATGACGCTGGTAATGATGACACAGAGCAAACCTGTCTTTAAAGCCCCCATATCGATATAGGAGACGGGAAGGAAAATTAACTTACTATGCTCTGCCCATTCATTTGCGCCCAAGCGGCGCTCCTGGCATGTGATTAAGTGTGTGACGGGTCTGAGAGCGGTGGGCGCGTCTGCGGCTCTCCATTACCGCAGAACGGCTGCCAGCGGCCAAGGAGGTCGGCGGCATCCTGGGCGCAGTAAGCACCGAGCCGCATTGACGATTGGGCCGCGTCACGTGGTGGCTATGCTGACGCGCACCACTCATCACATCAGTCTCACTCCAAGCGGGCTGCGTCGCGCTGGCAACCTCTGCACACCATCGACCAACGACAATCACCAGCGGCTTCAGAGTGAAGGGTGGATCACGGCGCGTAACGGTGTGCGCAGGGGGATGGGGGGGGGGAGGGGTCGAAGACATGCTCGCGCGTAATGGCCACACTGCTAGATATGAACGTGGAGGAGGGGTTTGTAAGGGGCGCGAAAGATTAAGCTCCACTGTTATGTCATCGTCGGAGAACTAAGCAGCAAGCCTTGTGGTGCTTGGAAATATAACAGTCAATAGCACAGAAGCACGTTCTTCATCCGCGTTGTATTGGTTCCGGACAACCAATATCAACAAAAAGCGACCGTGGGAAATACAGCTCTTCAGATTGCAGAAATCTGCGGATCACGGATATATCCTCCAATTGCATGTATGAGATTCGAAAGCTCGCAAAGTCGTGGGTAAGCACCGGACCGGATTTTAAAATCGCGCTCACTGCGGCTAGGCTTTTCGCAGAGCAAATCCCTGGGGGGGAGGGGAGGGGAGCGTCAGTCTAATTCCGGGTAACATGAAAGCAAACTGTGCAAACATCGCCGATCTTGCTGTCATGCTGAAAATTGCACGCAAAATTGTATGTTCCAGTTGTTGCTTCTTGTAAGAATCAGATCTTCTTCAGAAGCAGCTATAACAACGCTATATGTTGCGGCTGTAAATGTCTCCAGAATTCTAAAAACATCCAGACGTCTCAGACGTCTTGTGCTACAAAGTGTCGTAAGTTGTTCAGTGTATTAGCGAGGAACATAAGTCACATACGTAAGATAGTAGTACTGGCCTTATTCTTCGGAAAAACCAGGAGAGTGGAGACATACTTAGGTTGATATTTCGGCAACACGCTTTTCTAGAAACAATAGCAGAAGTGCTATTCTATTCTTCTCATATTGTTTCGAGAAAGGCACGTTACCGAAATATCAACCTAACTGTGCCGCCATTCTCCTGCTTTTTCCGAGGAATAAGGCTAATACTATTGTCATATCTATGCTATAAAGTCTCTAGAGTCCCCAAAGGTCTAGGATAGAAAAAGCATGAGAGTACCTCTAAACCTCCTGGGAAAAAGCTCTCTCACCACATGCCATTTGTTCTGTCCGAACCTAAACTAGGCCTGGCTTCCGTAATACTATTCGATACTTCCTTTAAAAAGTCACCTTCAGTGCCTCACCAGCTGTCAGTTGCATCATAGAGTTCTGGGATCGCAAGGCGTTGCCCTACTTTGTAACTGGCTTGGCTGACGGTCGTACGATGTCGTACTCGCTTGTCATTGGTTCACTATCACATCATTTCTGTACCCTATGACCATGAACCATTTCCGAGGCGCATAGTATTAAAGCCGTGTCATTGGTGACATGTAGATTCATATTCTCTCCCTGGGATCAAAGACGCGAGACCGCTGTTGGTTGTGTGAGCGGACGCTGTGGTGTGAGTATTGGTGCGTGTGCGTGTTGTCTGTGGTGTGAGTTGTGTGTGTGTGTGTGTGTGTGTGTGTGTGTGTGTGTGTGTGTGTGTGTGTGTGTGTGTGTGTGTGTGTGTGTGTGTGTGTGTGTGTGTGTGTGTGTGTGTGTGTGTGTTGTGCGTGTGCGTGTGCGTGTGCGCGTGTGTGTGTCATTGGGGCTTTACGACGCACTCAGCTGTTGAGGCTATATGGCGTCGCCTGCCTCGCGCCCTGGCAGGAAGGGCGGGCACCGCGGGGAATCGAATCCCGTACCTCTAGTTTCCCATACGCGCAGTAGTTAACGCAGACGCGTTAACCACTACACTACCGGCACCCTGTGGTGTGAGTTGGTGGTGCGTGTTGGTGTGTGTACCTGACTGCAAAACAGGAACTGTAGTTTGACAAGATCTATTTTTGTTGGACTCGCGGGAAGGGTTGGCACGAGCAAAGTCTACACGAGTACAACTATCACGCAAGCAGTCAGATATCTGCCACAGCAGGTTTAGACCCTGGACCGCAGAATGGGGCCGGTTAGAATGTGAAGGTTCACGGCATTTCCGCACTGGCTCATTGTTTAAATGAGGCTGTGATATAAGAGGCCGCCACAGAATTTACCATCTACCAACATGTGTGCTCGTGTATTTGTCGTCTTTTGCGTGTTGACCTGTGCGCAGGCTGAACAGAGGGCAGTAAGAGCCTGATATTTTCACAGCGCGCATGTACGAGCTTGACGTACGGCCTGACGACTGGACGTGTGCATTGGTGGGCGCTTGGCGCTCATCGGGAGGTCCCTTTCTAAACCCACTGGGATACCATTAGCTGTCTACGTGATGGAAGGACATAAGCGGTAGCCAAGTCCCATTGTATTTAAAGTCTTAGTAAGCATGTCAAACAGATATGCTCTTTGTTGCGAGAGCAATGATAGCTCTTGAGATTCCCATTTGCAGGAGAACGCCGATTCACTTGAATAGCACCAATGCACGAAATTTTGGATTGCAGATCGAAGACGATCGTGGGTGGGGGAGTACATGGTTGAGTAGCTTACAAAGCAATACTGGACGCTATCAGAGATGCCGCGGCAGTGACTATTCGGCAAACTGTAAACTGTATACCAAGGCAGGAACTTACCGCTACCGAAGAATTGCGGCGGTGTTGAGATAGTTAGGGATACAACGCCGGAGGTGGAGGCAACATGACTGGCTTGGCATTTCCATCATATAGAGAAGCCGTGGTGATAGCCAACCGCTAACCCAGCGGAAGCCGCTGGTTGAGCTTTACCAGGGTTGATTTGCGCGTCGTAGAATATAACGAAACGAACGCCTTTAAACGGCAGCGCTCGTTTGCTTTGGCAGCACATTCCAAAACTTGTGATGAAGAATGCACTTCACAAATTTTGGGATGCTCCTGTTTCGTCATTCGGAACCTCCTGAACCGCCCCTGCCATTCTAATGTGTTGCATTTTATTATGTAGTTTTGTATTGCACTATTGCATGTTGTAACATTGCGTCCCTTGTGTCCGAGGAAAGTAACAGCTATTGCTGTAAACGCCAGGCGGTGTGCGTACCCGGGGCAAGGGGAGTATTGTAGTTGGAATATATTCCCAACTATAATAATCCCCTTAACATACTTACCAATCAGCGACGTGAACATCAAAGTTACACTTGCGGTGAAGTCGTGGGACACATATGGCGTAACGTGCTGGAACGCCGTCCAGAGATAAGGGTTCCAGTCCCGCTAGTTGGGCTAAATCTTCTGCACCATCTGGCGAACAATATCATCAGTCTGCAAAGCGAACATACAGTTCTAGGGCATGGAAGCTGGAGTAGCTACATAACGGCGTATTTTCAGAGGCAGAGAAACGCGTTTGCGGAGGCGATCCTGAGATACTGCTAGCATTCTCCGCCGCAGGTGTCAGGGAATTAACGTTATGTCTTCATTGCAGATACCAGACAGATTCCGTCAGTTATCACCAAATTCAACTTTTGAACGCACGCTTCAGGGCAAAATGTTCCGGAGCCTAGTCATGACCGTGTGAACCGCATGTCCTGCACAAATATATAACGCATGATTGACCAACAAGCAAGTAAAAATATCCGAACATGTTTCATGCTAACATTTCCGCACAGCACTGATAGGCTAAGTTAGCAGTGAAACACTCTTCTTGATTTCAGTGCAGCCCCGGGGTCGGGGTGGATGCTTTCTTCCACGCGCTGCACACTCGCCAGTCAAGCAAGATGATCGCGCTGCTAGGCACCGGCTGCTCAGAGGTGACCGAGCAGCTGGCCCAGATCGTGCCCTACTGGAACATACTGCAGGTCAGTAGCACGGCAGCCGAGGCGTCATGGTCTGGTGACGTCGTCGTACCTTGCACAACGTTGGTTGGAAGCCTACATTTCATTTGGGTTTGATCACCGCATGGCTTATGGAATGGCGGGATTTGAATGACGTCGTTGTGACGTCATGAATGCCAAAGTGACTTGAAATACTTTCCCTGATGTACATTTCCCCATTGTCGTGGGCGTGTAGCTCAGAACCTAGAGGAGCTTAGATCTGAAGAAGGCAGGATTGTGAACAGCACCAAAAGGTCTTCAGGGTGGATATTTCTGTTGAAAACCCATATCAATATGGAACACTTTCTTTAAGAAGAGTGTTTCACATGTGCATGGGGGTTTTTCTGGCTGTTCAGCTGAAAGTGCCATCTAGTTTAACCATCCCGTAGTTTGATGAAAAACTAGCAGCTAAATCCGTTTCGGCTTACTCTTTCCAATATTAGTTGGTGTCGGTAGCTAAGAAAGAAAAGATTCAAGAGAAATTGCCTGATTTCTGCCGTAAGCACACCAGATTGTGCCTCTGTGAATTGCGCCCCTTCCACTAGATCAGCCCAAATGTCCATTTACGGAGATTTTCGTGTGCCTACTCAACAGCTGAATGTGCTTCTAATAACACGCAATGTCTGCTTTCTTGTGCCCACTAAGGTAAACACATCATGTCGCAGCAGACATCGAACCCCGTGCTTGGTCTGGTCCGAAGAACATCGACGTTGATTGAAACAATTTAAACATTTCACAACGTTGGGCTAGAAATCCTGTACAACAAAGTTTTGTCCAGTGCTCCTTTCCAAGTACTTGTCAACCTGTGGCTTCATAATCCTGCTGGTCTACTGGCACGTAAAAGTAATGCAATAAGCACACCAACACTGCGTAGGTCTACTCTTTCGCGCCATGTAACACTTGGGTAGTGTCATCACAGGACAGATACAAATGACGCAGCTCAAATAACCATTGGTGGCTGAATGAAATGTCATAACGAAGAGCAATTTGTGCCACCATAAAGCTAATTGTCCTCTTTGTGTGGAAAGCCAGAACGTTACATCTTGCAAAATTAGTTCGAAAGACGCATCACTCACCTAAATAACTCCATGCCCGTGCTTTGATTTCGCACCCGTAACTACCCTTGAGTGTGTAAAACGAAACTTGCACGGCACCGATGTAAAGAAGATGATAAGCGTGCCGTCACACCATGGGCGTCCCCACTGCCGACCCTGTCAGTCAGTCGAGCCCCCCCCCCCCCCCCCCGGTTCGAATCTTCTAGACGCGCTGACAGTCTACATCTGCAGGAGTAACGCCCCAATTGAGAGCGCCCCGACAGCGCAGCGCGCCAACTGCCAGCGCACCAGCGGCTGATGGCTGATGGCTGATGGCTGATGGCTGATGGCTGATGGCCGATGGCTGCGAACGGCCTTAGTGACATCCCCGGTCGCCGATGGCTGCAGAGCGCCAAACGCGGCGGTAGATGCCCAATGATCGCATTAATCCGCCCTTCGGACATGCGATTGTATTAGCAAGGGGCAGAGTGCTGGCCCCGGCAGACATCAAAGGCCGGCATCTCGCCTCGGGCCGTCCGACTGACCTCCGCTGACCTCCGCTGACCTCTGCCGGGCGCGAGGCGAGTGGTCGCCCCCTGAAGCTGGAGGCTCTTGGCGTTAACCAGCAGGGGGCGGTGTGCGCTCCCCGGTCGAACATGTCCAGCTGGATGATCCAAAGCAACTTCCCCTAAGTCATCCCTCACGCCGTGAGATACTCCATCTCATAACAGCCATACTGGAACGGGCAATAATAAAATTCATGAATTTCCGTGTCTTTCGACTAGCAAAGTGCCAAGGCGTATCATTCGTCACTCTGACGTCATTCACAACGCAAAAGACATAGCCTCTAGACAGGCCAGTATTCAGCTCGCTGAAAACGCAGTGCTACGTGGAGAAAAACGCCTGGATAATGTGTCAGCCTGAGAGCGCATTCCATCCGCGGGTTCGTTGCCCTGCGAGGAATTTGTGGACAAAGAGAGCCAACCCGGCGGACGTAATCATGAGCTTCAAAACAGCACGAATGTAGTCACCCGACGGAACTTTTTGGACGATGAAGGCTATAGGAGTCTTCCATGGTCACAACGTGTCGTCTCCGAAGTTAGCAAACAACAAGAAGCAATGCCAGACCGTCGACCACCCCCCCCCCCCCCTCCCCCCCCCCTCTCCTCGCCGCTAGCGCTCAGGCAGCGATCAGCGAACAGGTTCTTCCGCTGAATCTACCAAGGGTGCCCGGTGGGATGACTTCATCCCAACGCAACAATGGAGAGGGTATCCAAAGGCAGAGAACATACCGATACAAAAGCGTGTAAGGGCGTGTAAAGCTCAGAACGCAAAAGTCCGGTCTCGGGCTGATGAGAATCAAAGTTGGTTTCAAATAGAAAGAAAGGAGAAAAGGTGTGCCATGGGGAAAGCCATCAATTGTCAGGCGGCAAAAGCGAAAGTAGGTGTCGAAGACTGTCTGAAAGTGACAAGAAAGCTAAATAGTTGCCCAGCTCACGCAATAAGATGTGCAGTATAATTTATGGAATATGGCTTAACGACTCTGCAGAGGGGCGGGAAAGGGTGGGGCGTATTCAGTTCCAAGCGTGCAAACCTCGGTCCTGCGTACCCTGCATGAATTCTAAAGGACACCTGGCACACATCTGCGACTTCTATCGTGACGATCAGGAGACGGCAAACTTGGGGATGGCGCGTCGGGCTCGTTTTGGCGATCCGTTTTCACACGCCGATCGAGTGGAAGTGCCCTGCCCATGTCCGGAAGGAACGCAAATGCAATGTGCATACAGCCACATGCGACTTTGGCAAGACAACCAAAACAGCTAAACGTCAGTAAGGCCTCAAAGGTTCAGTTTGGTGATCTTGTTGCCGCAGCGGCTAGATAATTTCGGACCACGCGGAATGACGTCGTCAGGCGCTGAACTGCGGCCGCGACTCCTGAGGCATACACGCGCAGCTGTGTGTCTCTTAACCGCGGCTGCGGCTCCTGAGGCCTACACACGCAGCTGTGTGTCCCTTAACTGCAGCTGCGGCTCCTGAGGCCTACACACGCAGCTGTGTGTCTCTTAACCGCGGCTGCGGCTCCTGAGGCCTACACACGCAGCTGTGTGTCCCTTAACTGCAGCTGCGGCTCCTGAGGCCTACACACGCAGCTGTGTGTCTCTTAACCGCGGCTGCGGCTCCTGAGGCCTACACACGCAGCTGTGTGTCCCTTAACTGCAGCTGCGGCTCCTGAGGCCTATACACGCAGCTGTGTGTCTCTTAACCGCGGCTGCGGCTCCTGAGGCCTACACACGCAGCTGTGTGTCCCTTAACCGCAGCTGCGGCTCCTGAGGCCTACACACGCAGCTGTGTGTCCCTTAACTGCAGCTGCGGCTCCTGAGGCCTACACACGCAGCTGTGTGTCCCTTAACTGCAGCTGCGGCTCCTGAGGCCTACACACGCAGCTGTGTGTCTCTTAACTGCGGCTGCGGTTCCTGAGGCCTACACACGCAGCTGTGTGTCTCTTAACTGCAGCTGCGGCTCCTGAGGCCTACACACGCAGCTGTGTGTCTCTTAACCACGGCTGCGGCTCCTGGGGCCTACACGGGCAGCTGTGTGTCTCTTAACCGCGGCTACGGCTCCTGAGGCCTACACACGCAGCTGTGTGTCCCTTAACTGCAGCTGCGGCTCCTGAGGCCTACACACGCAGCTGTGTGTCTCTTAACTGCAGCTGCGGCTCCTGAGGCCTACACACGCAGCTGTGTGTCTCTTAACTGCAGCTGCGGCTCCTGTGGCTCCTGGGGCCTGCACACGCAGTTGTGTGTCCCTTAACTGCAGCTGCGGCCCCTGGGGTCTGCACACGCAGCGCCTCTGGTGGATAGATTTACGGACTCAGCCGACCTTGATTTGTTGTTTGTTGGACGCAAATGGCGGCAGCGGCAAGAAAATAATCAAACGACTAAGGCAAACAGCACCCGTGCCCCGCCCCAGGACTTTGCTATTTCCTCCCTCTTGGTTCAGTGCTAGCAATCACAAAGCTGGCTTGAACTTTCGAGCCAGCCGGCTTTCGGACCTTTGCCAAAGCTGGGGACATTGCCGTTTGCCTGGTCTCCCTACACGGTCTTCACCATGTATTTTCCGCACATGCCTCAACTGTGCTCTCTCCAGCCTCCCCTATGTATTTTCCGCTCATGTCTCAACTGTGCTCTCTCCAGCCTACCCTAAACTAACAGCTTTTTAAGAAGCCTTCCAAAACAGCTTCGAAATGCTGATAAGTAATACTTATTTGATAGCGATTGGAAGTTAATGTATAACTAAATGACAGTGGAATTCCATTCATTATTCACATTGCTTCCATTCACAGTCTCAAAATATTTTTCTTCAAAAATGGCGTCTCAATTGTGTCTTATGTTTCTCTGGCTGTGACGCATCTAAGGGGAGGGGAGTGGGTACAATGGGCGACTGTCCACAACAAAGAAAAGTCATGCAAGAAAAACTATTATTTCCCCTGCAAAGTGCCACCCAAATGCTGGAATCAACTTTGTCAAAAGTACATGTTTTCTTTTTTACGGACGCCTTTGTTTTCAAATGATTGTTTCATTTGTTTCAGCATTGGTCAATAATCCACACTGATTGGTCAGTGGTGCATAGTGATTAAATCCAAATTTGTAATCCGCAGTCTGTATCTAATAAACTGTTGTCCTGACTGAGACACGTTCGCGCTATGTTAAGCTTACTGCTGTGTCCGAGGTAGTTACTCTCGCACGTTACGCGAGTGTTTTAAGAGCCGCTTTTGCATTGGTGTTTGTAAGACACGTCTTATTATGTTGACACCTGCCTCCCTAGTCGCCCAAAATGCTTCCCGTGTCGTGAAACTTTTTTAAACCAAGTAAACTATGAACATGCAAGGATGCACTCAACGGATTTTGTTATTCTGTGATAGCTGAAATACCCATGCAAATCATTTTTATACACGAACTGAGAGCAAGGGCGCCTTTATTTTGCGGCATCTAAACTAAATGAATTATTATCATAATGCTGTACAGCAACCTCAAGCCAAAATTTTGGCATTTTACTTCGCATTCAAATCCGTCTCACCAACCCAGCGCCATTTCAAACACAATTTTAAGATCACGATGATTCATCGAGGGGAACAGATTAAAGATCACTGACATGTCAGCTGTGTGAATCGGTTAATACTTCCTGAAGAGTTCAGACTGTAAAAATCATAAAAACCCCCGACACGATTCAAAGGGCGCCCTGCTGAAGAGGCGGACCCGATAGTCACTCCGCCGTCTCCGAGATGTGCATCCCCGCAAAGTGAGGACCGGACAGTCCTTCAGCCTTAGACATGGAAGGTCGGAACAGGCCCTGCGGTTGTAAATTAAATGATGTCCACAACTGTATGATTTATCGACGAGAACACGGTGCTCGGACAGGCCCCCCTTTTGCCCGGGGCCGGCTCAGCGGACAAGAGAACCAATTGCGGACAACCGAACTCACGACTTGTTGCTGAGAAAACCAATGGATTATGAAAGGTCGCAGCTTGATGCGTCATCAGATGTTCCGAAACCATCGGACCGCTTTGGTTTCAGAACGTGCGTCGCCCTCAGTTCCGAGGCAAGACATTTTGAGGAGAAACAAGCCAGACGGCCGAGGTATAGGCGGATGGGGGGTGGGTGGCTGGGGGGGGGGGGGGGCTAGGTGAAGGATGGGGGCCGCAGTCATTATTCCAAGCCTTTGTAGAGAAGCAAGTATCAAGTTTGCAATAGATGCCTTTAGTTCGCTTTCTCCTGGTGCGCAATGCTATCTGCCCATTCGTCCGTACCACGCATTAAAAAGGAAACCCAGTTTCGCGCTATGTTAGTTCCCAGCATCGTTTTCGTTGGAAAGACAGAATTCTAGGGCTGGAGGCGGTTTGAACCGAACGGCTGGGAAATTACTTGCCTTTTCACTTAGCATCTTGCAGTATGGCTCAGTCCGAGGTACGTCCTGAGGCAAAAATTGTGAAACGAGCTTCAGCGGAACTGCATCGGCAACACGCATAGCCAGAGACTTAATCAGGTTATTGCTGCTTCCCTCCCCCTCCCACACACGCACATACGCACGCACGCGCGCACGCACGCACGCACGCACGCACGTACATGAGACATGCGGTGTTGCTGTGGATGAAATGCCATTTGTTGCGCGGAAGTTATGTCGCCTGAGACCGTCCACAGGCGGGTGGCGCACTCCCGTGAGGCAAGTCCGTCAGTCATCTTCCTGTAGGGACGCCTGAAAAGGCTGGCGTGTCTCGATGACTTCCGAATTATCCCGCATATTAAAGGGTCCATCATGACAGTGCGCAACGGCGCAGGAGATGGCGCCGAGACGTGCGGAGGAGCGGCCCGGTCCGTCTCGACACGACCAGCCGTCCTTCGCCTGATACACCGTTCTTCCCACCGCTTATAATATCGGGCACGCGGCGTGAGGGATGTGATGTGTCACTTTCGTGGAAGATGGATGATGCGTGCAAGATTAGGCTGTTTTGACTACGATTTCATGCATCTGCTTTCTGATGGCAACAACATTTTGCATCCATTGGAGCTAGAATTAGCTCATGCATTTTACCATTAGGATTAACACACATGATAGTCACTAGGTCTGCGTTCATTACGTGACATATCCAGTTTTATTGTGACTGCCCCCCCCCCCAAGTTATGAAATTAATCATGAAAACAAGCGCTGCAGAGTTGGGAATGGCTGAGTAGTCTTTAGCCCGGTATCAAAACAGTGGAAGTCGGGTACGACAAGGTGTTTAGCTGTGTTGAATTATCCACTCGCTCAACAGCTGGAAATATGAGCCAACACGTTGAGAGACATTGTGGTGGTCCCTTTGCTGTGAGGAGAGAAAAAGCATCACTGCTTTTCTCAGCGTTGGCACACCTGTCATGTGAAGAAAACATGAATCATTTTTTCGTTCCATCTAAATCCTATGGTAATTTGGAGAACATCCACACAAAATGAATTCATGAGACACATGTATCGATGGAAATAAGTATTAGTTACTTACTTAGTTATAAGTATTAGTGGGTATATATATATATACATATATATATATATATATATATATATATATAAGTACAAGTATAAGTATATATGGCCAGGCCGGCATAAACAAAATCGACGAATTATCGTGTCGGCACCTGAAGATGTTTCTCTGCTTGCGGAATCTTTCATGTCAGCTTATTTCAGAACTGGAACGGCGTTTTTAACTGCCTCACGGTACTCAAAGTTTTGCCATCACTTCTTTTGGGTCCCGTGCTGGCCAAACTGGGAATCGTTGTCTCGTTTTGCCGTGAAGAGCGTTTCCTATCATCGGGGAAACGGTGCCGGTGGTGGGCCATAACCTGACCGGTGAACTTGAGTTGCTGATTGTTCGCGGTCCGCCGTTTGTTAAAGTTTTGGAATCTCAGCAATTTCACTAGTCGCCACGCAGTCACCAGTGAAACAAACACTTCTTATAGAGTCAGAACTGTTGTTACTGCGGTTGACTTGTGTTTGTTGTGTTCTGAACATGTCTTTGTTGATGCCCGCAGTGTTATTAATCCTTGTAACTTTTCATCGCGTTATTACAGATGACCTGATTGAACGACATTTTCGTGAGCAGCATGAAATGACACGCAATTTTTTTGAGGCTGTGTTTGTTTTGGTAAACGCCTAATGAAGCACATTGATTTGTCCTTAACGTTTGCTTCGCTGCCAGCAAGCCTCGTGACACTAGAGTGGAAATAAATTTGATGTTTTTACACAACACCTATTTCCTGGCAAGGACATTATCCCTAAAGCGCATTCTCAGTAAGCTGAAGCGAAGGGTTTTGTGGAACATCAAAGTGAATCACACTTCGTCGTCAGCTCGCACGTAACATGTCACTACGCACAAGCATATGTCTGCATCCAGTGTCGTTATAGGTGGTGGAAATGTTTTCTAGTTATTATTATGGCGTGGTCCAATTGGGAAGTTTTTTAATGACATTCCAGCAACGTTTTGCAGATAAGAGATTTGTAAGCAGGTTCTTCAGCATATTAGAATTTGTCCTAGAAGTCTTTCATTTTGTCAGCAAATTTTATGAGCGTTTGCTCCAATTGTGTTCGCGCTCTTGTCAATCATGAAAGGTTTTAGAAACTTTACTTTAAACCATAGTGTGCAGTTTCGGATGCATCGATTATGACACTTTGATTGGAAAATTGTGCCAGGTAGCTAGCCAAATTTTGGAAACTAGCAACTGCGCTCATGTTCTTACTTTTTAAGGTTCAAACTCGTATCCATATCCCATCCAAACTATTCCCAAACTTGGTACCCATTGCACGGATTCACCCTTATGGTTTGAGCACCCGCGGTTTCACCAGGCTAATGAAAGCCTCTAGTTCAATAGCCCGTGCCACCCCTCATGACCAGGTTGTTCATGTTTTTGCTGACAGATGTCGTTCGGCTCTTTCTCACCGGCGCTCAGCGACCGTACATCATTCCCTCTGTTCTTCCGCACGTCTCCGCCAGAGTCGGCCCACAACCCTGCACGACTGGCCTTCGTAGCGTACCACAAGTGGGACGCTGTCGCAACTCTCAGCCAAAACTCGGACGAACATACGCTGGTGAGTTCCTAAACGTTCGCCAACTTTTTGGTGCTGCGAACATGGTTTGTCTCAGGTAAGACACGTGACCCACCTCAGCCATTAAACTTAAATGTTTCCATCACCAGAGCGGACTTTAAGATGCACGTGCATAATAACGTGCTCAGAGACCTCTGTGTACTCAAGGTCTCTCATGGGGTGTTTTGGTTGCCTGGGCCACTTCTGCTCACTGTCGACCTGGCTGACATTTGAGGGGCTCGAAGTCGGCAGCGTTTCCCATCACTGCTCAGAGGCATCACTAGCCAGCCGGTGCCACTACGGGCACCAATGGGCACCTCTGATTGCTGAGGGGCCCTTCTGGCCATTTAAGTTCTCATCTGGCTACTCAGGACTTCTGACACGTTTGCCGGCCCGTTTGGTTCCCCAGTCCTTTAACAGTGCAATGGCTGCCTTCCAGACGCTCGGAATATTGCTAGCTACTCTAGGCGCTTTTGACCGCTCCTACTGCCCACGAATCGTCCTGGCTGCTTGTGGGCCCTTCTGATTGATCGAAGGCCGCCCCGAGCTCTCAGCGGCCCTCCGGACGCGTAGTGGTCGAGACAAACGTGCAAGGCTTTCTTTTTAGCCCCCTCTTGGATCCTAAATAACCGGTCTAGCCGATGATGGGGCCCCATGGCCGCCAAGGGGTCCCCCGGCCACTTGCATGCACCGAAAGCGGCTCAGGGGCCACTGGCTGCTCAGGGTATGGCCGGAGATCCCGCGGCGGCTAGGGATCCCACCACTAGGCCGCGGAACACCTCCTGGACCTCATGTTTCCATGTCTTGAGCCTAGGGCTCCGAGGACTCCCAAACGAGGCTCAGGGAATCCAAAGAGGGGTCCGTTATGCTGTGTAGTTGCCCGGCAGGCCAATGTGAAAGCGGCGTCTTATGCAGAGGTGTGTCCACAGCAAACCCCAGGAGCACACTGGTGCACCTCTCTGCGTCAAACACGCGACTTTCCACTTGGAAGTGAAGCGACCAATCGGGAATTAGCTGCCGTAGTGCCCACTGGGCAACAGCCAATCGCATGGCAGTGTCGGACTGGTCACTGAAGGGCCTTTGTAAGCGCCAGCGGTTGTAGACGGCGCCAGGCAGACGCCGCGGCGGTGGGTCACGCCCCGGTCACGCGGCACGGGTCACCAGGGTCCCGTTCTTGATTGGAAAATGCTGCCAGATGCCCCGCCCCTCCAGGTAACAACCCATGACGTTTCACAGCTACGTCATCTACGTGATGGAAGGCGCTTTAAGTAACTCCCAAAGATGGAGGCTGGCAAAATCAGCTGTTTCCCAACAAGCACATCTGACGCGCAGCAGAGATGATATTGACGATTCGGGACAGTCAAATGCAAATACTTCAGAGGTGTCTTTTTCACTACAGCCGCCTATACCATAGCGACTTAACATAACGAAAAAATTATACCCGGGGTAAGGCAGATCATCGCCCTCGATTCAGAAAGATGTTACATTAACTGAGGCGTTGCGCGACTTATGTTGCAGGGCCGATGATATGTATAGATATTGACCAGCGCGATTTATGTTGCAGGAGCCAGAAAGTGACTAACACAGTGGTGCACTCGCCAACGTAGCGGTTCTGGCTCTGCCAAAGCGCCAACGTCGCGTAAACAAAACAGAGCATTATGTTCACGACGCGGTTCCAGGATATTATAACTAAGATTTGAAATCGCAGTTTCCCATCTCGCGCTAAGTTTTTTTTTTAATTTCCGGGTTAAGCTGGCTCATTATGTCAATCATGGCCAGCGTAGAGGCAACCGGAAGCGTCCGTTGGAAGATGTGATGCCTGGGCTGCAATACCTTGCAAAGCCTGTGCCCCACCACTCCCTTGGCGACAGGTTTGGAACTTCAAAAGCTGGGTCACGCTAGTACCTGACAATATGTTACAAATATGTTACTACCGCGCGGTGACGCCATCGCGTGGCCAATAAGAGCGCGGCAACATGAAACCCTCGCAGGCTTTGCGGCACGCGCCGGCTCCCCGGGTGTGGTTGGGGCCATCGACGGATCCTTTATGTTCATGTATGCACCCAGCAAGGAGATAGCAGCTGCTCATAAGAAGCATAACCACCGCCAAGCAGTACATCTACTGGCTGCTTGTGATCACCGCGGCGCACTCACTGATGTTCTTGCAAGGTTCCTGGGATCCGCCCACGATTTTCATTTTTTTTTTTTTAGAAGGCCCCCTCCGCTGCGACCTCAGGGAGCATCGGCGGCAGCATCTCCCATCTAACGCACACCTCATGGAGGACAGAAGCTTCCCCTTTCCCGGAGATCATCGCCCCTTCCTGAGACAACGATCACCTCATCCTCACCCAGCGCCACTTCAACATGACCATACAAAAAACACGTGTCAAAATTGAACATGCTTTCAGCATGCCGAAAACAAACTGCAGCAGCTAAAGCATTTATAAGTGAACAACATGGGCAATGTGGCTGAGGTCATCATTGCATTGATCATTGCACCATGCATCAATCGCTGCATTGTGCATCATGAGCACTGTGTAGGGGATGACGCAGCGCCTGCAGAGCCCCACGAGGCAGATTCCGTGGAATGGACCGACGGAAGTGCGCTGCTGCTTTCGGTTCAATGCATTTGAGATAATGATAGTCCATAGCTTGATGTGTACAGAACAGATTACCTCAAAATTATGCATATGGCCTTTATCTTCAATAACAATGTTCAACTATGACAATTTTATACTTCTGTCTTGCACTTCCACATGCTTCAATACCACTAGCAATCAATCAATGCAATTCACTTCACATCCAGGCACCTATTAATAGGGTATGCTGAATTGCATACCGGTGTGTAATCTGTTCACATTAATTTTAGGCAATGTCACCGTGACAGACTGTTCAACATTGGAGTTCCAAAATTCCACCATCTCCATGTTGTTCACAATCTGTCAGGCATGTTGCAGGTCAGTGGAGAAGTGATATAGAAAAAAATGCAACCATACCGATAATACAATTTCCATACCAATAACAGTCATGCTTACAGGTCGCACAACAGCAAGTTTGTACAGTGTAGCTATAATTATTAACAAGTTAACCTATTCCAACGCATGCCAGTGCTGTCTGGTTATCCAAAATAATAAATCAGACCATGAAACAAACCATCTTGCATTCGAGGCATGCTTTCATTTATTTAATGCAGTAGAACCTGGGCAAAGGGGCTACCTAGCAACACATGTAGGTGTACATTTGTGATTCAATGATGAAGTAGGCAATGATGGCTGACACATTAGTGTACCTACTGCGCCTCGGCCAGTTATTCCGTGACCTTCAATCCCTGACGACATATCATTAAGGGAAAGCAAATTATGCTGACTAGTGCATTTTTCAGCCAACAGTTGAAACTACTGTTTGGCACTAGCGTAACTTATGAATAGCAGATCCAACGTGCTCGAAGAAACCCTCCATATTCAACGCACCCCAGCCGCAAATGCGTCATGGGTGTTGCTATGCGTTGCTATGTAAATAACCACTAGCTACCGCACTTACTTTGCCTCTCGGCCAAGTAGGGACTGGACTTGGGCCGTGACGTCATAGGTAAGTCGGTAGCTACGTCATACATGAACTGGGCGTACTCGAAGTTCGGAATGGGCTTCCATGTGGTCATGAAGAACGGGGCCCGGAAGGCGTATGGGCTGGACCGCCAGGCCGGCCGGACGCGCCCACAGCACGGTGGGTCCAGGCTGCTCGATGCAACAGCTTCTTACGAGATGCGCAGCGCGAGAACAAAATAACTTATTAAACAAAAAGGCTAAAATAAGGTTTCGTCTTTAAAATGGACCTTGACATAGTACCATAGCCCCTCTAGCTGTTCGAAAGGCTCCGTCGGCTCCCCCTCTGACCACTCAGGGCTCTCAGGGCTCAGGGCTCAGGGCTCAGAGCTCTCGGGGCTCAGGGCTCAGGGCTCAGGACTCTCAGGGCTCAGGGCTCAGGACCTCTCAGGGCTCAGGCTCAGGGCTCAGGGCTCAGGGCTCAGGCTGGTCAGGCTCAGGACTCTCAGGGCTCAGGGCTCAGGGCTCAGGGCTCAGGGCTCAGGGCTCAGAGCTCATCAGGCTCAGGACTCAGGGCCTCAGGACTCTCAGGGCTCAGGGCTCAGGGCTCAGGGCTCAGGGCTCAGGGCTCAGGACTCTCAGGGCTCAGGGCTCAGGGCTCAGGGCTCAGGGCTCAGGGCTCAGAGCTCTCGGGGCTCAGGGCTCAGGGCTCAGGGCTCAGGACTCAGGGCTCAGAGCTCTCAGGGCTCAGGACTCAGGCCTCAGGACTCTCAGGGCTCAGGGCTCAGGGCTCAGGGCTCAGGGCTCTCAAGGCTCAGGGCTCAGGGCTCGGGCCGTCAGGTATCTGCGAAACGGCATAGACTTGCCTCGTGCCTTTAGGTCCAATTTAACCCTGGCTGAAATACATGACGACTACAAGACTGGTGCCCTGCATCGACCAGGAGAATCTAGGCACGGTCACACGGAACACTGAGGTGCCACTTGCCGTTTGGAAATGCTAATGATACCCTTAGGCGGCCCAACTCTGGTCTGAATAGCTTGAAGTTGGACTCGAATGTTGCTTTTCAAAACAGTGCCGCTGATAATCACGTCTTTATTCAAATTTCCGCGCACCCTCGGCGCGGATTTTTTGTGATTTCCTGTGGGTTCTGTTAGAAAGATTAATGAACCCGTAGACGATTTAATTCCAGTCTGAGTAGCATAGTGATGAGAGAAATACAAAGGAGAGAAACAACAGGTACTCAGTTTGTTTTGACCACAAAGAGGCGCGACAAAAAAGGTGGGTCCCAGGAACATTACAGATGTGTTACGCCGATAGGAGGGGAGGGGGGGGGGGGAAGCAAAGTTTTGAAACCTAGAAACACACGTCGGCCGTTTGTTCAAAGGGCGACATGCACTCAACTAAAACAAAAATGCGCGTCTGCGGAGTGTCAACGTGAACAACGAAATTCGAGTTAAAGG